GTACGTGCAAAGTATTTGGTGATTAAGTCGAAAAAGGCCTCATATGAGTCTTTTTCACGAAGGATTGTGTCATAGTCAGACCAGTTGTGGCCATGTGAATTAATAGTGGTAAGCAGTATATGTCGCTCCAAATTAAGCATGGGGCACTCATAAATGTAGTGCACATTACTATCTGTAACACCACACAGGGAGCACATTGAACTGGTTGCGTTAACGAATCTCGCTAGATAAGATTGAAAGCGACCATGGCCGGTAAGAAATTGCGTAACAAAACTATTAGGTCTGTACCATTTGTATGTAAAAAAGGTCTTGATGCAAGGTATGAATCTATGAGTAATAGGGTGGTTATGTTTGTCCCAGGTGTTTTGCCAAGTTAATAGGAGATCCTGCCAGAGAATTCTTTTGAGAGTACTGGTGCTGATTTTATCATAAGAGATATTAAGACTATTATTGTTGGAAGCTGCCTTAGCTAAGGCATCAGCTCTTTCGTTACCATGGGTACCTATATGTGCACGAGTCCAGTAAATATAATATCGATTGGAAGACTTGGAAATGAGAGTGTTAATGTCATAAACGATTGGGTGAAAGGATCCTTTACGAAGAATTGCAATAGAGGAAGAGCTATCAGCAATGATAGCTATTTGTTTATGATGGACATTGTTAGCCCAAGTAATGGCCATTTTCAAGGCATAGAGTTCTGCTTGAAAAATAGTGCATTGTTCACCCAATCTGAACTGGCCCAGAGCAATCTCCTGCCCGTTCTGGTAAACAACATAACTACAACCAACCTTTATATCTGTTTTCGAACCATTCGTAAAGATTTCGTAATCATTGTAAGAGGGTTGCTCGAAGACGATTGACGGTGTGGACGAAAGGGCCAAAGATTGTGAATAAATGGCAAAAGAAATTTCTTGTTCCAAGTCGGTGTGACTTATTTCTTGGTTGCTAGTATAAATATCAAGGCCATGCTTTATTTGCCATTGAGCGTCATGGCAGTATGCGATAAGTGATGATATCAAATGTGAATAACAATGAAATGACCTACACGTGTAAATAACAGAAAAAGAACAGAGAAGGACCGCGAAATGAAAATGTGAAAATAAATATGAAATTGAGTTGATAACATAATCGAACAAGTCGAAGCAGCTTATTGGAGCGAAATTTGCGGCCGTCAATGCTAAACAATTGTTGTCATAGACTTCGGAAAACTAAATGCTTATAATGAAAGTCATTTAGTGTGCACGGGCGAAAGCCTGGGACCGTTCGGGCTACCAAGCTGTCTCGAATCTGTAAAATCATAACTGTGACATATACCTACGTCCTATCTGTCTTTTTTCTCCGTTATCACCGGACTATGAGTCACGTAATTATAAAATGGAAAAACTACGACGGAAAAGTGACGAATCGAAAGTATCGTGAGCGTGTATTATGATTTATGCATAGGCATACGTGGACTAGAGAGATGGAGGAAAGAGAAAGGAAATAGCAAAGACGAGCGCTTAAAAAGGATATGCAGGGTCAGACCCTTACATGTGTGCGACGATTTTCGAACGAATAGGTGTGTACATGTGCTGATCTTTGTAATTATAAATTATGAATACATGTGACTAATATTATTTTTTTTTTATTTTGTGCATGTTATAAGTTGTAAATAAATATAAACAAGCAACACTAACCCGACAACATTAGGCCTAAATCTAAATACCAAAAAGATTAATTTACTGTGTTTTTATTTCTTACTCCTGTTTTTAGGTATTCGGTATTCGGCCGAATAGCAAAAAAATAGGCCGAATAGGCCAAATAGTAACCGAATATTCATTACATCACTAATTTTTATGTATTAAATGTAAATAACTCCTGCCATGAATTTTTTTATTTTTACTTAAAATGATTTTCTTTCTGCTATATTTACGCGCATATTAGAAGAAAAGCCATTAAGTTCGATGTTATTTATAAGAAAACAAGGAAATGATGATTTATTTATGGCATTGGCGATGACTGATTCCCAACAACGAAGAAAGCGTGCAAAAATCGTTGGTTACGTTCACAATATCGTACGGCAGTATTCGAAATCTTTAAAATCCATTTTCGTATGTCACGATTAAAAATCTGCTCATTTAAAACAGCAAAAAACTGATTGTTAGTTGGTAGTCGAAAAAGATACTTTTTCATGGAGGCGTCCATCTTGTAAGCACTATTTTTAGTGTGTCGAGAAATGCTGCTAGTGCGCTGAAAGCGCACCATAAGCGCGCTGACAATAGGCTTTATAAGGTCGAATAGGGCGAAGAAAGAAGACACGAATGCGGGTCGAAGACGGCCGACTTCCCCGTAAAAATAAAGCCCGCGTAGGGCGAAGAAAGAAGACACGAATGCGGGTCGAAGACGGCCGACTTTCCCGTTGTTAGAAATATATTTTAACAATACAGTAGACCACCTATAACGCAGGTTCATATAATGCGGATTCGTATATCGCGGAGAAAAAATTGCGACCGTATTCGTATAAAGGCACTAACAGAGACTCGTAAAATGAGGTAAAACGTCATCGCCGACTAGTGTCGCGACAGGATTGGTCGAATCTGGACCAATAGTGGACGAGCAGCCAAACTACTTACACGCTATGGAGAGTTTAGGCTGGTAAGTTGAGTTTACTATCGTCTGTACAGTATATAAATTAGGTACTGTAAGTCTAATACAGTACTGCAATTTTATACATTTCTTGTGAAAGAACATTTCTTATTCAAAGGTCATAAAAATTATTTCTATTAATGATGTCTCCAGAGTTCAACGAATTTTTCGCAGAAAAATAACTTATCAGAAAATGCGCCCGCCGTTTGGTGCGCTGCTCCGCGACGAAAACAAGCTTAAGCAATGGCGTCGTCGAACGGTGCACACTCGGTAAGTAATCCTACAATTTTTTGTTTATAGCATAGTTCATACGGATTATTCCCAAAAAATTATATGTGTTTTGGAAATGTTGAGTGAAATTAGTCTAGAATCGATTAATTTTATGGAAGAAAACCTTTCAAACAGCCGTAGTCCGTAAACTGCACACGTGCCGGGCTGTGATTGGCTCATGTATTTGAGGTTTCCTACAACGCTAAGTTCCTATAAAGCGGAACGTATCTACCGCATTATAGGGGGATCGACTGTATATTGTTGCTTTTTCTATTGTAGATCGACAGTTTTTAGCAGAAAGATTTTTCCAAATTTCACTTTTTTTTTCTTTACTGAGGTTTCCGGACAGAATTGTGATCAACTAATCTTCAGTAATGTAAGTAAATTGTTACATTTGATTTATAAGAAATGAAAATGGAATAACTCGCGATAGAATGTGAAATTGAAACACGTGTGTAATTCTTTTAGTGTTGAATTAAATTATCAGATAATATGTAGCATTTGGTATCTATAGTGAAATATTTATTTACTAGCAGGTGGGCTCGGCGTTGCTCGGGCAAAAGTAACGATAACTATGATAAAGATTATTACGTTACAGTCAACCTTACCCGTTCTCACAGAATGCAAGAATTGGGTCCCCTTGTTTCCAGACTAATTAGAGAATTTTTAGATGGGTCTAAAAATATGTTCGATTTNTATGTCAAGTTATATTTTTATTACTACGTAAAATATATTTAAGAGTTTATGACCACTGTGCTGGATGAGACGTTGTTGAAACAAAAAAATGTTATGCATTCCATCACGTACATAAACTGTCGTAATTCGCCAATTGCAAATCAGCAAATTCGTAAAATTTTTGTTTATTTTGAACAATCCGGATAATCGAAAATACGGATAATGGAGGTCCGGATAATGGAGGTTCTACTGTATTAGAAATGTAAAACTCCGTAATAAATAGGTACTGTACAGTACGTTCCTTACAAGTTTAATAGATTACCTGATGCTTTTAAATGTCATTTTTTTATATACAGTAAAACTTCGCTAACTCGGATTGCGTTAACTCGAGTAACGCTCCCGGTTAACATAGATGTATTGTATAGGGTTTCCATTTAATACCATTTCGTTAAGACAAAATTTTCGGCACTTTTAACTCCAATGTATTTTCCTCAGAGTCGTGCAGAAACGTTTTGGCGCCCGAGACAAACATTATACTTGACAGCCTGATTCAACGTTAATTATAAAAATGAATTCCATGGGTTCATTTTGGCACTCTTAAGATTTGAGTCGACAACGAGCAACAACTTATCGGAGTGAGGCCAACTACAGGCACGAAGGCGTAGGTTGACCTACCTACCGTACTTAGAGTCCAGCGCTCTCGCCAGCTTATCATCGATCTCTGCAGTAGGGTACCTTTTAAGTATGTAGTCGAGGGATCTACCATCCTCGTAACAAATGGGCCACTGGCTCCCGCCTTTGCAAGCTGATCGGCCCGTTCGTTGCCCAGGACACCGGTGTGACCTCTTACCCACCGCAGGGCAACGTGTCGCTCGTGCCTCGCCCTCAGTACCCTACCTCTGATCTCGTGTACCAATGGGTCACGATGGTACCCGTCGCTTAAAGCCTGTAACGACGACTGGCTATCTGAGTAAACCGTGACCGGCTCTGGACCCGGATGTAGTAGGATCCACTGGGACGCCCCCTCCAGGGCCACCAGTTCTGCCTGGAACACGGACGCCTCCTCGTTCAGTCTGACAGTTCTGCTGTACACTTCAACTCCGTCGGAAAAGACGCAGTATGCGGCGCCTACTAAGCTGCCGTCCTTTGAGCCATCGGTGTATATCTCAACACCCGTACCAGTCGGTTCACCGATTTCCCAATCCAGTCCAATCCTAAGGGCAGGATGGACCTTTAGTAAGTCTGTCTGACGCCTAAGTCTGATCGGGTACTTCTGATTACAATGCATGGCCTCTCTACCTTCCACTGTTGTTCTGTAGAAGGCTGCCTCTTGGCTGACAACCAGAGGCAAAGGGAGCAGCCCGGCCAAGACCAGGGCCGCATCCGTTGACACAGTTCTGTATGCTTGCGTGATCCGCAAAGCAGCGGGATGCTGGATCGTGAGTAGTGTCCTACTCTGACTGACGTTGGCAGTGTCCTTCCACCAAACGCTACAGGCGTAGCAGACAACGTGCTCCACACTCATCTTGTAGATGGTGCAAAGCGCTTCTCCACTTAGCCCGTAAGGATGCGACTATGCAGACGCGAATTTAGAGCGAGCGAGAGGTTGCGAGCGATTTAGTTTTCGCAAAGGAAAACCATGCACAAACGAGAAGCGAGAAATAACGCTGGCGAGAGATAATTTCTGGTTCTCGCACATATATGACAGGTTTTGATATTTATCGCTTCTCGCCTCTTCTCGCCACATATTCTCGTTCGCTCGGAAAATTCGCTCGCTCGCGTCTGCATAGTCGCACCCTAATCCTGCCTAGCTAGTCGTGATAGTGCCGCTATCATTCGGTTTGTTCTGACTCGAACATCCCTTAGGTGGGGAGTCCAGCATAGTGTCTGGTCGATGATTACACCGAGGTACTTTAACTCATTCACCCTTCGGATGGGGTTGCCCCAGATGCGGTAGATAGGCCGGCGTGCCAATACCCCACTTCGGACCACAGTCAGGGCCTCTGATTTCTCAGGGCTAAAGGAGAGCTTATGCAGCTCCCCCCAGCAAACGAGCTGTACTATTGCTTCGTTGCCGCGAACCTCCATGTCGCGTCGACTATAGCCTGCAACTACTAGCAATAGGTCGTCAGCATAAGCCTGCAGTTGGACTTGGTCCGGAAGGACCAGCCTCAACGCCGTGTCCGCTAGAACATTCCACAAGAGGGGACCAATACAGGAACCCTGTGGACAGCCTCTCTCAAACGTCCTCTCATACCTACCACCTGGCGTCTCGTAGACAACCGAGCGGTCACTCAGGAAACTCCTGGAAAGTGATACAAGGGCGGTCGGCAGGTTCGCCTTCCTCAGCTCGCCCACAATGGACGGCCACCAAACATTGTCGAAGGCCCCAGCAACGTCCATCGAAACGAGCGACATGTGGAGTCCCTGCCGGCGGTTCTGGCGAACCAGTTCCACCACACGGTGTAATGCATGGCAGGTCGACATGTTCAGGCGGAATCCATATTGATGCGGGTGTAGCTGCCCTTTCCGCTTGAGATAGAAAAAGATTCTATCGCTGAGGATTCTATCAAGAACCTTCCCCAGCACTGGTAGTAGGCTGATCGGCCTGTAAGATCTGGGCTCGTTCTTCGGGCGCTTCTCCTTATGAATGAACACAAGGCGCGCCCACTTCCACTGCACTGGAAAGTGACCCAGGAGTAGACACTTCTGATACAATACACGGAGCAGGTTAGGACGTTCCTCGTGCAGAACTTGTACCATCTCGGCCGTGATACCATCAACGCCAGGTGCCTTCCTCTTCCTTAGATTGCCCACAATGTGGGCAACTTCAGATTCCGACACCGGCACGGGTAACTCGGCCTCAAGAACAGGCAACTCCGCATCGCTGCGAAGCCGCCGTTGCTCTTCGGTGTCCTCGGACCGCTCATCACACGGAAAGTGCGATTGGAGCAGTACCTTAATCGACTCCTCCTGTGTGGAGGTTAGGGTTCCATCCGGTTTTTTTGAAGGACCCCAAGACTGTCCTACGCTTCAACTTTCCCGCCACTAGCCTATAAGGTAGGCCAAACGGATTTTCGTCACTGATCTGCTGACAGAAACTGAGCCATGAGGTTCTCTTTGCATCGTTCAATTTGTACTTGTACTCAGTGTTGGCCCTCTGGAACTCCAGTCTCCTGGTCGCCCGAAGGTCATCGTCTCTGCATTGTTGAAAGCGTCGGCGGAGTGCCCTCACACGCTTCCGTAGGACACTCAGCTCCTGGGTCCACCAGGGAACTGACCGGTGGTTGCTGGGCCGCCGTAGCGCGAGCGTGCAGTCTCCTGCTTCTCTGACCGCTTTGGTGAGGTTTGCCACAGCTTCCTCCAGATCCTCAACACTCTCAACCTTAGAAACTTCGGTAACGATATCAACTGTCTTTTCAGCGAGGCATTTGCTAAAGCGATCGCGGTTTCCAGCAGTCAGTTTGTAGCGACTGTCCTGCCTGTCCGGCGGGCCGCCCATCACCTCAAAGGTGATAAAGCGATGGTCACTACAACTTTCTGCGTCGATCGTCTCCCATTGCGAGGTAAGTCTCAGCATAGTGCCACTAACAAGTGTCAAATCAATCCAGCTCTCGCCCGATGGAGAGGAGTAGGTAGCAATCCCGAACAGATCGTTCAGAACATGCAACCCCCAACCCTCCGCCGTGTCCTTCATCATGTTCCCGTCGGGATCATCGATCGGCGAGCCCCACAGCGAGTGTTTGGCGTTGAAGTCACCACCCAAAACAACACGACTGCGGACCGAGACAACCCCTTCGAGTTCAGTCAGAAGGCGACTGGAGACGATGGTCCAAGCACATGAAGGTGTCCGTATTTCTACTGCCACCACGAGATGAGAGATGTGGACAGTGTAAGCATTGACATCCCTGCGCGTGAGAATAACTGCAGTTTGACAATCGTCACCTTCTTGGGCGAAAACGCTCCATTGAAGTGAGAGACCACCAACCTTTCCTTGTACTAAGTACGGCTCTCGGAGCAGGATGACATCAATCTCCCGCTCTACTACCTCCACCCGAAGTTGGGCGGTTGCAGCCCGACACTTTTCAGCATTAAACTGCAGTAAACTGCAGCTTGCATTCTCGCCATTCCGCATACAAGTTGTATTATTGTCGGACTCGAATGATAGGAATTACCTTTAAAGACCGTAATCAGTCCTGGCCCGAACTCGTTCTAGTTCCCGTGCATAACACGGACAGCTAGCACTCATGGCAGAGTGACCCGTACCCAGCTGTAGGCCAAATTTTCTGTTTGCCTCAGTGCAGTTGACACACCGAGGCTCGGGTGCCTTACACTCCTTGTAGGAGTGGTCATGGGCACATCTGCTACATTTTTGGGCTGCCGCCTTACAGCCCCGTGCAATATGCCCGAAGGCATAGCACTTGTAGCATCGAGTGCAGCTCAGGTATTCCCTCAATCGGTTGCAGGTCCACCCCACATGGAGTCTCCCCTTCTGCAGGAGAGCGTGGAAGACAGGTGGAGAGGCCTCCAACACCCAGTTGGTGAACTCTCCTTTTCCCTTTAATGGGAAACAGGGCCGCAGGTCGCCAGTCTGCAGCCCGAGTTCATTTTGAACCCTTATTATCTCCATGAGACCGTTGCCTTTGACATCCGGGTCAACGTCGAATAAAATGACCCTCGGTCGGTGCTTCTGGGGCAGTCGGCAGTTGACTGCCTCCCTGAGCTCCTTGGGGCCCTCTGTCAACTCCTTTTGAAGTTTCACGACATCCTGGCTGTTTCGTACCTCTACCAGGATGCCATTTTTGCGGATACGGCGCACATTTTTAACACCAATACCAAGTTTGGTTGGGTTAATGTGCATTTTGATTAGCGACTTTGTAGCATCGCTAGACATCGTGTTGCTCGCAGGGTAGACCAGGAGCGTGTGCTCCGTGGGAAGAGTCCTGCGTGGCTTGGCAGCGTCCCGCGGCCCGTCTTGGATGTGCAACGGGGCCGAACGGGCAGCAACGGTAGCGTAGGACGCGCTACCGGCTTTCACTGCCTTGCCAATATCTTTTTTCAGCACTGAAAGCATATGTGGTGGCAATTGCTTGCCACTGACGACCTCTCTCAAGGTCTTATTTTCTGCCCGGAGGGAGGCAATCTCGACCTCCTGGGCAGACAGAATCGCGGCTACCTTGTTGAAAAGGCTGTAGATTACAGCGCAGGTAGACTTCTGACAGCGATTGTCAGTGCGCGCGAGGAGCTTTGTCATCTCCTCGTTCACGCTGTCCATTGCTGCGCGACGCTTTTCGGCTGTTTCAAGCATCTCCTGTGTCTCCACAGGCGCCGACAACAGCGTTTCAGCTTTGGTGGCCGGACTTATTTTCCCGGCCACCGCTGCAGTAGGGTTCTTACTTTTGGACGATGTCCTCGACCCACCTTTGTTTTTTGGTGGAGGGTTTCCCCTCCCCAATGGTCGGCGCGGCTTTTGCGGGTTCACCCTTAGGCTTATCGCCCTTGGGATTCACCGCTCTAGCTTTGGCCGCCTTTGCCCGTCTTTCTCTACGCCTTCCTCGGGAGTTCGAAGGCGCGGGCTTCCACTCACTCTCCTCACTCGAGGAGGCGGTACTGGGGATATCCTCTGAATCGCCAGTTGATTCCGAATCGGAGTCACGGGCCTCAAGAGGAATGGATACCTTGACGGCATCCTTTGACCCTGTTACCTTGGGTTCTGGCAGTTGGTCATTAGCGGGCTTACGTTTCCACAGGGTCCGCTTCTCCGTTTTCGTGGTGCTAGCACCAGTTTCCGCCTTAACACTCTCGTCACCAGAGGCGACACGTTCGCTTGGCACCAAAACAGTAGGCTCGTCAGTCGCACTTGACTCACCAGAAGCAATATCGCACTTCTCACTATTTTTGGCCATAACAAACAAATAAAAAGAGAGTAAAATTCGGGTGGTCCCGACCTTTCATGGGTGCCCTGAGTCCGTTCAAGAGTCAAGGTATGCGTTTAAGAGCCAGCTCTGACTTCGGGCTTACTGAGGGCTCATTTTGGCCCTCTTGTTGCCGGGTCGTCACTGCTTAGCCCGCTGCCGCGACAGCATTTAAATGGCCTCCTACCCAAGGTCACCCCAGCCCGGCTGGTTGCTTGGCTTGGGCCGCCCCATCATCCCTACTAGGAGACGCTCTTCCCGTTTCCAGTCCTCCGAGACCATATACGGCCATCCAACGCATCGTCAGGCCTTTAAGCACCGCTCCCCCTAGGACATAAGGAAGTTGGCCCTATGTCCGAAGAGCGGCTCTGCCGACTGCCCGTCAGGATAGATACCAGCTAGCAGAGTCCTACAATCCACTGTAGGTGTTACCCCCCTGGCCACCAGCGAGGCTTCGGCTAGGGAGTGCGACTTGTCACCCCACTGGCTTTGGCATGCAGGCTGTGGCCCCCAAGCCAGCACCGGGTGTGCGAAGCCCGGTCTTCCTCTTGGGAAGCTGGTTCTTCGTTTACCGGACAGAAGGAGCTTTACATAATTTGCGTTACCACGGGCTAAGGCTAAGTCGACTGCATTCGACCGCCTTTTTTGCAAGTAGCATCGGCCCCGTGCCATTGGGTGGATGCGGGAGTTCACTTTGTGTGTCTCAGATCCCAGAGGGTGCGGATTGTCAGATCCATGGTCTCTGGTCACTGTACCGACGTGGGATTTGAATCCAGAAGTTTCAGCGTCCACTGCGTGCTCCAATGTGTAATATCAAGGACATAGCCCATTGGCCCAGGGTACAATGTGCATCTTGCTACAAGCAGACGATTTAACTGTCGCGAGTAGGGGGTCTCGGGACTCTTCGCCGAAGCGGAATGTCCCTACCACGTTTCAGCAGCGCCCCTATCGAGTGCCATCACATCGCAGGCCAACGGGTGCCTACGCTTCCGTCGGCAGGGTTACCAACTTCCATCGGCCATGGCCAACTTCCATCGGACAAGCCCAATCGACTACGCTCCGCATATCTCGTCCAAAGACAAGTCCTCCCTAGGAACCGTATTAGCAACGGCTACAGCGACCATCCCCCAGCTCCGGACTTACTGAGGGCTCGTTTTGGCCCTCTTATTGCCGATACCATTAGGGATAGCCCCGTGCTTCGATCGCACCAGTCTCCCTTCTGTTTTAATGTGAGTCTGCATGCCACAATGCCAATTAGCAGCTCTAGTAGCTGTCCGCTCCAACGGGGAGAGGTTCCAGAACAGGGCGACATTCGAAACCCCGCCGGAGTCGCCCCTCACCAGGGAACGACAATCGGACAGCAAGCTATTAAAAGGCTTGGTACACAGACCCAAAGCCTAAGATGTAATAACGCCTCTGGAACCTTCGGCTCGAGTCGTAAGACTCCATCAACGATCGAGACCAAGACGAGTCTTTCGGGATTCAGTACCCGTCGTCTCTCACCGCCTGGCCCCCCCGCCACGTCCAGGCTCGGTTCCCTACCCGGGGGGGGGTGCAGTAGTATAGTATATGAAATAGTCAATTCTTTCAATCAAAATGAACTTTTGTATAATTATATGTGAACACACTTTAGCAAAGCATTTTTATTCAAGCATCCTTATTGCAAAAAAGTGAATACAATACAAACGTGCCTGCAATACGAGTAGTAATATTTTTATATGAAATTTATATAGGCTACTCATTATGTATAATACAACTACATTGTTTTTGCATAATTGTATTTTTTTGTCATTATGTATTAATATACAAACATAATATTTGTACAAATTACTGTTATTTACAGTATAATCTCGGTAATTTGACATGTTTGAGATCGGAACAGTATCGGATTAAGGAGATTGCTGGATGAAGTAAGGTAAATTCAATGGTTTAATTATTTGGAAAGAAAACATTTGCTTATTTGCAGCATACTAGTACATTTTACTAATTAAAACATAAACAAAATAGCAAGAAACTAAGATTGGCTTGTGACCTTTGAAGATTGTCCTTTGGTGGGGATCTTGACAATTGCCCTTTTTGTCCATAGGATAATACGCCCCAAACTCACAACTAACTGCCAGTGTTCAGTGTTCTACTCCCATCGTGGACGAGCCACGATGGGAGTAGAGTGATCAGGCCGCTCTCTTTCTGAGCATGTTTTATATTTTATCTTCATGTTTGGTTAAACGGGAAAAACTTACAAAATATCCGAATATACTACATTTAGTGTTCCTGAAACATTGTAAAACTATACGCTATTCATTTTACAATGATTAAGAAACTACTTTTTATGTATGATACTTTAAAATCCTATTATTACTTTATTTTATTTACTTCTAACTCATCTTTTTAAAGAATGTTTTTGTTTTTTTGAAAATATTTCGAGAAAGGCATATCTATCGCGCTTACATTTATTAATGGCTACATTTTACAATAAGTTTGAGAAAATTGAGAAAAAACAAACAAAATGTATTTCCGTGCATATCCGTGCATGCTCTTACAGATAGGGTGAAATTAGCATTAAATTCCAAAAAGTACCTAAAAAACTCACTATTTAAAAATAAATCATTTATACAGCAGAGCGTCGTTTATCCGAAAGTCGGTTATCCGAAACGTAGGTTGTCCGAAAGAATTCCAGTCAGCAAATTTAAATTTTCGCTAGTGCTGTGGCGCTGCAATCTTTGGCTATATCTTGGGCTACTCCAATATTTTTTATGTTTGTGTGTGTTTTAGCTGGCAGCACTGGCACTTTTGTGTGATGTTTTTCTGAGGACTGTGTATGGTGCTGAATCGAACGTTTTTGATACTAGATAACTTCTAAAGTATATATTTTTTGTTTTTATATTTTTCAATATACTTATTTTGTTTGTAAAAAATAAAGAAATAATTTTTAACGATACAGTAGCCACGATTATTATTTTAAAAAGTTTACGTTAGGCTTAACATCGACGAAAATTCAACGCGAAGCGACACGCAACGGAGAAAAATTTCAACACGGGATAGGTTAATGTATTTTTTCGTACATAATCGGTTATCCGAAAAATAAGTTATCCGAATAACCCCAGTCCCCAATTGATTCGGATAAACGACGCTCTACTGTAGAATGAGAAGCATTGTTTTTATTTTGGCATTTTATTTTTAATAATAGTCACCACAGATATTTCACTGAATGGCTACTGTATCATTACATTTAATTTACATCAACACAGCAGTGGTGTTCTCTTATAAGCCAAAAAAAGCAGACACATCGACGTATGCTTCTTATAAAGCGAAGCAAGATGCGTGTTTTCAAAAGTGATTTTCACATATAAGAGCGTACTTTTACAGTATATGTGCAAATATACGATAATTACTGAAATTCTGATCATTCTAGAAAATGTTTCCAGTTGAAATTACTGCAACACAATTTACAGTCATTTTTCATTTCTCTTAACACAAAGATGCTATTGCAGCTTCTAATCATCTAGGGAGCGGGTGTTTGATGAAATAGATTGTTTCATGATGAAAGCAATATCACTATAAAGGGAGTACTCTTGAATTACTTATATAAATAGACTGTATTTATAGATTTCAATTGTTTTAGGTGACGGAACTTAATAGAAAGATAATGAATGATATTTTAAGTCTGTTTAAGTTTTGAAAGAAAAAGCAGTTTAATTGGTGTAAAAGTGTAGTCAATTTTATAATCTACACAAGTTTTTGAAGATAATAAGTCAGATATTGGTGAACTGTTAAGTAAATCCGGTTAAGTATTTTAGTAAAGATAAAATTAATTAATTAAACTCAAAATTTTCTGAAAATAGTAGAATATACCGGTATATTTTCCATTTTAGTACACAATGTAAGTATTGAGAGAGTACAGTATTTCAATGGTAATGGCACAGTGGACGCAAGCATTTATTGATTGAGTCTGTGTAAGATTTAATGATAGTAAAATATAATTTAAAAATGAGCTATGTTGATTTTACAGATAAATTCTAAGTAAGCCAGAATTATTAAAAATGATAGGTTTCTAAGAGAAATATGATAGAGACATGGAAATAATTACAACTTACAATAAATGCGTTAATTTACGTTGTCATTTACATCAATAATTGTTAATAATTAGTTATATTTACTGAGAAAAACATTTCGAACATTTTCTTCGGATATCCTACATTTTTTTTTTCATTTTTTTACTTATGACCATCTAGTCACCATAAACGAGAGGAGCAACTACAAGATATTCTGAATATTAAGTAAAATATTGCGAATTTGTCGGTGTTTTATTTCCGTAAAGAATTTTATTCAAATCTTAAAGAATTTTAATCAAAAATAAATTTCGATTGAGCTTTCTTTCTTCACTGTGTTCATTGTGTGTCAATTTTATTGTAAGCTAGATAGATATCCATGTACAGGCAATAATTGAATTATGCTGTATAGCCTACGAGATATAGCATTTCGAAAAATTCGAAATATTTTTGTTACGTATTTTATTTAATGAAGAAAGTACAGTAATTATTCAAAGTACTGCTGCAATGATGCATACTTACAGCTACACGTTCTTCAATATATTATTCAAGAACATGTGTAGCTGTAAGTATGAGTAGTGTAAACGATGAAATTACGAAAATAATAATCCATGTGTAAACTATTAAAAACTCTTATAAGACGAATAAGTTATTTTTCATGATATAATTTTTGTGAAGATTAATTAATATAAATTTTCTAATTTATTTAACCGATTTATTCATTTTGCTGTTCTTTTATGTAAAAGAAAAGCAGTAAAAAAGAACAATATAATTATATAATGATTAATATTAATTATATTATATTTAATAAATAAAACAATACAATTTATTACACTTAATAAAATGTTAGATTTATAAATCATGTTATAATTTTAAATAATTAATTTAAAAACTTTTCATTTTTATATTTTTATTATGAAAATAAAAAATAATTTAAATATTTTACAATAATGACATTTGAATTATTAATACATTGTAAAAAAATAAAATATTATTATTACGATGAGATGATAATTTATGATGAAGCAAAAAATAAAAACATTTCATAAAACGGAATAATTTAAATATTAAATCGTTCATTTATAATGAACACGAGGATTTTATATGCCGGTATATTGTATATATATTTAAAAATATTACAATAAATTGTTAAAAACCATTATGGAAGTTTTAAATAATGAACTAAAGATATACATATTTTTTTGATTTCTTTTCCTATTGAACTTCCACCATTTCTGCATTTAGTATCCGAATCAAATTCTGTATCGTCATCATCGTCATCATCGTAATCATCATCATCATCTTGATTATAATACCTATGTAGAACGGTGCATACCGTGTGTTGACAAAAGCTCGCTACTTTCTGACCTCTCGTAGCATTTCTGTTTAATTGATCCGCCAAGCCAGAAACGATGGAAGAAGCTGAAATTCTGGATAGACTCATGTATGATTTATTTCTAGTAAAGTCTACCGCGAATGTCATGGCAGAATTAAACATTTCGTAAACGGTATTGAAGACATTCGATACTAATGACGTCCTCGATAACAGCTCCATATCTGTCGGATGACGAATGTCGACTCTTTCCCAAGGATCATCTTCTATTGTTGCTAATCGAAACTGACGACTATATTCAGGTTCTAAAAGTACCCTGTTCAATCTTTCTGGAAAATTTGTAATAAAGGCATCTACGCCTTCTCTGAAAATAAAACAATAATATTTCTTTTAATTAAGAATATCATACGCAGAGAAATAATGAATGATTACTATCTTAATTCAATGAACATCAATAAAATCTTGCTAATACGAAAGTTTTTAAGATAATCTAATATTTCTAGAAAGACAAATTATATATTTTTATTGATCGCTGTTTGAAATATAACATATGATAAAATATTATCTCAATTAACAATGTCTTTATTCGTACTAAAATACAAAACAAAAAATAATTAGGTTCTAATAAATTTGCAGAAAAACTTTAATGTGTTTTTCCCATATGTCTAACATCTAAATAGGGCCAATTTCCAATAGAAAATCCTCTCGAGAGATATCCTGGTCTTCGTGATATGTTGCCTTGTCCCAACAAATAATATTTCTTTAATTTTGAGACATCTGAGTTTAAACACTTAAGAACCATTGTACTTTATAAACTATTTTTAAAATAATTAACTACTATAAATTTATTCTATAAAATCGAATTTACTATTAAACTTTATATATTGAAGTGAAATATCTGTCAGCGTGGTCAAAAAGAAAAATACCAGTTGGAATTTTTTCGGTTTACCTCTTTTCCGGTTTACCCAATGATTTAATTAATGTGTTTAAACAAAATACAGTACAGTCGAACTTTCAATAACGGTCACCTCCTGACAGTGGTTATCTTAACAGTGGCCATTTTTCAGAAACTATTTTAAAGAAAAATGCGTATAAAATGACTTCCAAACAAAACCCTTTTCTTGTGTTTCCCTCAGTGGCTGTTCAGAATTTTGATTGCATTTCAATCAGAAGATAGACAATTCTTACTTACTTATTAGCAAAATTTAATAAATTATTCGTTCAAATTTAATTTTAATATTTTTAAATTCGACTTTATAAATTAAACACCAAAATACTTCCAGCTTTAACACAAAATGACATAAAATTGAATGTACATTATTAAATTTCGTTTGAAGTAGGCATAACTGAGACAAGTATTCAATAAATTGATATCATCAGCAATATTATTATCAATTTGTTAAATTATAATTTCGAGAAAAATCAGATTGACTTAATTATTTTTAAAATATCTTTATTAAATAATAAGCTTTTTAATAACTTTCAAAAAATGAATCTATACATATGAAATTCATAATGTAACAATGTTATAAATAATATTAAAACTTATTAGTATTTAAAATAGTTTTAGATATAAACTAACCTGAGGGATCTTCGAAAGAAAGCAGAATAATCAACTGTCCACTGATATACTTTATTAATTTTTGAAAGAGAATCACGCATTGTCAAAGCATTTCTGAGTCTTCCTCGAGTTCTAAACGTTGCTAAACAGTTATTGATTCCGTCTCCTTGCCAAATATTCTTCTTTATATTTAAATTCTTCCACATTCTTTGGATTGATAATAGAGCATCATTCAATCCAACATCCCAACCTAAAAATAAATTAGCTTATATATATCACAGTTCAAAACTGGAGCAATTTACTTAAAAACATTTTATCTTACCTATTTTATCTGTGAGATGTTCTAAATTTTCTATCTTCAACGTGTCCATAAATCCTCTAACTATATCACTATCTCCAGTGTGACCGATAGAGAATAGTATATTAATGGGTGTGACATCATCTCCTGTTAAATATTAACACCACATATATTAATTTCAAAATAAAGGGACTTTCAAATTAATTTCAAAATATAATTTCAAAATAAAATATAGGGAAAAAGAGAACAAAACTCATTTAATTTGGATTATTTAGCTCAAATTCCACACTTATATGACATTTAAGAATAATTTTGTTTTAATTTAACGAATATTTCCTCGTGTAATTAGCGTACAATCATCAATTTACTGAAATATTAGTCGTTATAATTAAATTTAAACAAACGACATGAATTTTTAATGTTATTAATTACATGATTTTATAAAAGAATTCACATTAGCTACTATATAATTATTGTTACATATGAATAAACTTAAAAAACTGGTATGCATATTTGCAGAAACAATTCATTTTGTGCATGGTGACTTTTAAAACAGTATAAATGTTTAGATGCACGTAACTAACTATATGTTCAGGTTAAAAAATATAAATGTTTAGGTACTCAAAAAAAGATATTAAGATTCAAATTTAAAAAAAAAATCTGTTTGTTGCTGGCTGAGATCGGAAACATGTTTAATAATAATGCAGACACTATGAAATAATGGCTATTAAACTTAAGTAATGATTAGTTCTTTTTAGGTAACTAATGGATGGATTCATTAATTAGGATATGTTCCTAAAACTTGTTTAACAGTTATAGTAATATGTTAAGGTAATTTGGATCTTATTTGATATAAAGCTCAAGGAATCTCATTTTCTGACTTCCTTCAAAGGACATATAGTTTATACTTTACGTGCTAACTGCTTATTGAATATGTTCAAATTTAATAAATTTAAAACTCAGAAGTTCTTAATTAATAACGTCTTTTATCTTTAATGAGTTTGTAATACCAGAGGCAGATTTGATATTTTGCTGCCCGTAGGCTTTAACTTTTTTGTCACTCTCATAGGTAATATGTCTTAAAACATAAAAACGTACTTTTTAAACTAAAATTATATTTATTGCCTTTAAAATTACTTTTATGTAAAAGTAAGAATTTTTACGAGATTTGATATTTTAAAAAATTTGCTGCCCTAGGCTTCAGCTTTTCGGAAAATCTGCCCCTAATTAAGCACTCAAACATTTAAAATAGCAAATAAAAATAAAAATCGAATAAAACAACAGTATTTTATTCAATTTTTACTTTTATATTTTAATAGTTCAAACAATACATTTCACAAAAAGCATAATGTTTTATATTGTTCTGTAAAGAGTTAACAACCAATTTTTCTTTGCTTAAATATTTTATTCAATGGAGCATTCATAATTGAACTTCAGTTTTGTTATGAATATCATACGAATAATTGATAATTAGTTTCAGCAAAGGAGAAATTCAGTAATTTAATGTCAGGTTAATTGAGATAATCACTTTGAATAATAAACTACAAAAAGAATTTTTATGAAATTGAAACGGAATATTATTAAACATATTTTATGAAATAGCAAAATAATATTTTTATCAGACAATAAATTAGTTTTGATAGTTAATAATGAAATATTAATAGTCATAAATTATTTATTGCCTTTCAGTATTGACTATTATAAGAAACTCTAACGTACCGGTAATTCAAATATTCAAGTTAAGAGATTTTTTGATGTTTAAAATTATATTTTATACCTCTGTTCCATAAATGATCGATCAGTGCCTTAGCCAGATTAGTGCCCGCAGTATATTTGTGCTGAGGAGCTAGTGATGAGGATTTTAAGTCTAAAAATAATAAGACGAAATTCTCTTTATAATCACTGCTTCCTAAAAAGAAAAATTGTAGAAATAAACTTTCGGTATAAGGCTTTAATTCTGTAATATTGTTATTTAACAATGGACTTACCCGGAGAAGAAATATTTCGTACATATTTAATATATTCGATAAAATCTTCTCTATTGTCACATATTCTAAAACAATCGCAAGGAAATCCGTGGTATGTGCTATGCAACGATCCATTTGTAGTGAATTGAACATCGACTTCGATGGAATTCGCTCCTTTGTCTAAATACGTATCTAATTCTTTAATGGTGTTCACCATATGAGCTATGTTATATATTGGACGCTGTTGATCCGCTTCTAATTTCCAAAACTACTCAAAAATATCACAGAATCATTATTAACTATTAAAAAAATATTTTTATATAATATAATGTAATGATAATCAGTCTTCTTAATATTCCTCAAAAATTAATGTCGATATAAATTTAAAAGTTCAAAATTTTATTTATAATTGAAATTTAAAATGCTTAAAAATAACTCTAAATTAATTTAATTCTTATAAAACTTAAAACAAGATTACTTATGTATATATTTTTTTCTTTTTCTATTTGTGTGAATGATGTATATCTTACGAAAAAATACGAAGTAGCCTAATAAAATAGTGTGAAGAGTTCATAAGCAAAAAAAATTTAGTGTTTTACTAAAATCAATCAATCAAGTTTTACTAAAATAATTGTGAAATAAAATAATTTTTACATAATATAAATAGGATTAAACCATGTGAAATTAATGTTTAACATTTCTATATAAAATAAAATCGAATGATTAATTATTGATTTTAATAATTAATAACAGAGATTTATGATAATTGTTGATTTACTTACTTTACTAAATCAACAATTTTTTTAAACCAGAATTTGAGCACTTATTTTTTAGTAAGTTCAATTTTTAGAAAATAGTTATTAAATTTATTTCTGATTATTGAAATTAGGCCTGTATTAAGTTATAAATCGCAATAATTATTGCTATATTATTCGGTCAATATTTTAAAAAGTTACATCAGGTTATAAATGTTTTTCTTAACAATAAGTTACAAGTTCCGCATGTTTGTTGTTTTGATAAGTTCAAGTATTGTGAAACAATTCTAGAGGCTATGTAACAGCCAACCTGTTTTTCAACTGCATTTATTACCTTTAATCATCCGATAAGACCTAATAATTTTACATTGTTGATTATACCTATTAAGTCAATAAGCATTGTAAAATTTACCTACCACGTAATAAAAAAATTTATACCTATGCTGAACTATTAGTCATACTTATTATCATAGTAAACACATTAATCAAATTAAATTTTACATTAATTAAATAAACTGTAACTCACCTGTACAGTAAAGATGTATGTAAAAAAGACTAGTTTTAATTTCATTATACTTCGGGATTATTCTCTGCAATTACAAGGATAAGTTTACTTCAGTAAGACTTCAAAATATGTAGTAATTTCATAAATGTAACAAACATATTAAGTTTTTTTTTCCCGGTTAATTACTTCAGTACCAGTCAATGTCCTTTCAATATTTTACATTTGAGAGAATTCGAAAATTGGGTCTCGTTCTTTTATTTTACAAAATTTCCCTCGAAAAAATTAAAAGGGAAATCTAAATATAGATAAAAAGATAGGATCATAGGAAATATAAATGTGATACACTTTCTAGTAGGACGAAGTAAATATTCATTGACCTTATGAGTAAAAGATACAAATACAATGTAGGTCGAGACTCTTCATTCTGTACAGGACATAAACCTTGATCATAGACTTTACTATTTCCCTTTCGTAATTCAAGTACGACCTAAATTATAGCGATAATACCTTTTTCAAGAACATATAGAGCGTTAAAGTTTGGATATTTATTTATGTGTGCGTTAATTGTTTAACAATTATTCTGACATCCTATTTATGAACTACCATGCTCAAGTTAATAAACAATGAAAAAAGGTAATGATACAACACTTAGAAACATACCATATTCGGTCAGAAGTTAACAGTCAAGAAAAAATAATGATTCTTAGAATATATGTTATACAACCAGAGCTACTATATGTTAATTTAATTTGTAACGACTAATAAATCGATGCTGTGTCATTTCGAACTTGTTCTATATTCTCGTTGAAGCAGGTTCTACCAGTTTAATTGCAGGAAAATAATAAATGAAAAATATTTCCGGATTTATGAATTATAAAAGTATTGAGCTTTACTATAAAATCATTACTTTATATGACAAAACTTTTATATACAGTTTTCCTAGTAGACTTGCATAAATTATATATATAAAAACACGTAAATAAATATAAAAATTATTAAAATCGTAAAAAAGTTTTTAAATTATTTATTTATACATTAAAATTTAAAGGAAGAAAATTATTAAAAACTAAGTATATTAACTTATAAGTGTAAATAATTAATTAAAATACTTAAGGATTAAACTTCATAAAATAAATCGTCAAGTAATATTTCAAAAATAATTAAAATCTAGTTTTTAAATACAGTAAAAATTATCAACAAATAATTACATTCCGTAATATCGCTTCAATTATATAAATGATATAGGTATAATAATTAATTAGTAAGCATATAATAAGGAAGTATACTAATAGCAACAGTATGCTTATTAAGAATTTCGATTGTAATAACCCGTAACCACTTGCATAATATTTACATCATACCTAAACTTGTAGAAAAGTTGATAGATAGCAAAGAACTGAATAGAAAATCTTACCTTTTCTACTGGAGTAAGTAAGTGCTTATCATGTCTACGCCAATTGTAGCAGGTAGACTAAAGTATCTCCGATTCTTACCCTATTGATAAATCTCATGACTCAAAATAAGGAAAGCATTTTAATGGCCCAAGGTCGCATCTAGTCGCCGGTTCCTCGGTAACATAAATGAACAATTGAGGCCAAAGAAGGTTGTCGACCTGACCACCCGTGGAATATCTCTATTATTCTTTGAGTTTATCCTAGACAGAATTTAGCAATGAAAGTAGGATTGTTAAACTTATGAAAAATACTATAAATAAATTATTATAAATTTCTTTCCCAATTGCTAGGCAGTGAATCGAGTTTTCCAATCATTGGCATTAGGAAAATTGTAAAATATAAATAACTTTCATTTAATTTTTTTGTTTTAGTTCATATAAATGAGATAATCCCCTGACCCATTTAGATATTTATAATTTTCAGGGATGTTTTATATTATATCTTATAATAAAAGATAATATAAGAATATTGCAAAACTCATTTTATTGTCATAAAATTTACTCTTAACAATTGTCAATATTCATTACACAAATATTATGTAAAATTATAAAATAAATTATTATATAATAAAATTGTTATATTTTTGTAAGGTATATTATTTTTTATTATTTAATTATAAAAATGTAAAAGTGTTGTTACTGAAAAGTTAAATAAAAATAGATTATTATTATTATTATTATTTTGCATTTAGTGTAAATTATTTTATTTTTAGTGTGGGAAAATGCCCTCAATTTAATTTTATCGACTTGAAATATCAAGAAGTAATCGACGCTAAAACAATTTAATAATTGGATAAATATATGTAACTGGATTGTTTTACGCTACAGTTACAACGACCTTGTCATAAAATCGTAGGGATAGAATATAGGTCTATTTTACACTCGAATTCTCAATGAAATAAAGACCACAAGGTCGCTATTGTCGTACAGTACGTTACGCTAATATATTAATCACTTATCTATAATTTATATAAATACAACTTCATAAAAAGATTTTACGGATTTTGGAATTTTTTTATTTTACATTTAATATGTAACGTCATAAATATACAGTTTCTAATAGTTTATTTATATAAATTTCAATTTCTATTCCATTTTCTCTATTCTCACAAGGAAATCCTGTGTGAAAGTTAGTCATATGCTAATGCAATTTTCAAGATGTTACTCTCGGGAATCTAAGGATACGGTTAAATTCTTTCTGCTACACTTTCTGCACAATTGAATTAAGCTCACGCATGTTTGATTCGAGTGTTAGTAGGTCTACTATATGAGAGTTGAAAACCTTTCAAATGAATCTTAGCAAGGAAAAAAGAAAATTGTTTGAACAAATAAGTACTATCATCAACAACATTATTCATATAAACTTTCTTTGTTTACATATATCCTTTTATTATGTATAAGTTTATATGCTCCTTTTTATTCTAGTAATAACATTTCGAATTATTTGATGTCAATTTTTCATTTTTCTATACAATAAATAACCAGGCGTAAATACTGNCTGAACATTGATCATACCTGTAGTGATACTATAGTATGTTATAGTTTTGAATATCAACTAGGTAGTCCAATTGATTTTTTACATGGGGAAAAATGCTTTATTTGAACATTTTTAAATTTAACTTTTTGTTGAAATTATGTTGCTGTTTAAAAAAGTTGCTCTTTTTGTTGAAAGATTGGTTTAAAATTACATGTTTTTAAGTCAAGAGTACATCTTTTTTAAGCACAGCACAGCACAGTACTATTTGTATATCAGAGAGTACTGTTTATTGATTTTATGCTACCTTGTGTTTATTAAATTTACACACAAATAATAATGATAAATGATGATAAAATAAAAAAACTCATGTTTCATTTGTAAATTGCTTATTTTTTCATTATATTTAAGTTGTGGATCCTATCAAACAGTTTTATACAGGATGTATGTACTGTACTTTTTTATGTGGCAGTCTTTGGAACATATCAACTGTGCAAAAATGGGATATATGTACTCAATGTTCACAGTAAGTAAAATGCTGTTTTATTGTGTTGATATTCCACATTAAGAAATGTGAGGGTCGGGGAATTTGGACAAAGTTGGTCCAGGAAAGTCATGGAATTCAAAACAAAAATTTGAGTAGGAACCCTGTATATGTTAAAAAGTTAAAATTTCATAAATAAATACAATTAATTAATTTGAAAATTTACCTTGTGACGAATTATTCCAAACTGCAATTACACATTCATTCATTATATCAGTTTTTGGAAGACACAAATTAGAAATAATGTCATCGTTCTCCAATTGCACTAGAGCAATGTCGTTATCTTGACTAAGAATATTTTTCACTAAAGAACTAGATGACAATGTATAAAATGTCCATAATGTGCTATCTGTGGAATTATCACTGTTAAGTAAAATCACAGGTTTTATTAATTTTATTTAAAGAAAAATTAAAAAAATAAATATTATGTAGCATGTTTCAAATTATTAAAGACTGACAAATAAAATAACTTTTTCAAAATTTAATTTTTGAAACAATAAGAAAAATTTCTCATTTTAGATTGAAAATGTTATTTTTAAATTTTATAAGTAAAATGTTCTTTCTTTTAGAGTTGAAACATACTACATCTATATGCATATATATATTTTTATAATTATTTATTGGACTAACCGATTAAGCATGCATTCATACGAAGTAAGAACCCACTGTGAACTAATTATACTTGCCATACATAATGTTACATTTGTTTTTAATATCCCAAATAATAATTCTGACTTTTGTGAACCACATTCTAGAATTGAAAGAAAAGAAGAAAACAATTATATCTTTATAAACAGAATTAATAAATTATTTAATTAAAATATTTTTACTTGTTTTATTTGTCAGCAGAACAAATGGTTTATTTTCTTCAGATTGAATTGAGCTTATTGAAGTATTTAATAAATTAATATAGTTCATAGTAGTTGTATCAAATGCATCTTCTGAAGTTTCTTCAAGTTTAAAATTAGTTAGTGATTCAGTAGATGCATTATCTTCATTTAAAACTTCCTTTGTATTGTTCCATTTTTCAGTAATATTCTCTTCGGTACTGTCGATATAAGAATTATTTGTAAAGTATAACATAGTCTGTAATTTAATATTTTAAATGTACTTGGTCATATACAGAGCATGATTCTAGTGTCATATACAGGTGGGGTGCCGTGACACTTGATGGTAGGGAAGCTGTGTTTCTGTAAGAAGCAGACTTCCAGGGGCAATCAGTCAATTGCGTGTCAGTGATGGTCTAGAATCCATTCGTATTCGTTTGTTCGATAAGCCAGTAAAAACAGCAGACTTCTCTAAATGTATTTTAAATATCACAATTACATTCTGAATCTCTCATACATTCTGAAGTCATGATATAAGGGAAAAATTATAAAAACTTACTTGGTGAAATAAAATGTGTGATGGATATACATACCTGGTACAAAATATTCTTCAATTGTATGAATATACTTTTAAAGACAATTATAATTAAATAAAGCTTTGTAAAGAAAGGTACATAAAAATTAACATAAAATATTCTTTACTTTTTAAATCTTAAAACAATTAGTCAAATAGCTTTATACGAGTGGCTACTGGATGGAATCATGCAGGATGGAATCATGCATATATCTGAATCTGCATTTATCTATTTTCTGGATGGAATCATGCATTTATACGAGTGGCTACTGGATGGATGGAATCGTGCATGCACAAAGGCTGCCAATTTCCAGGTTGCCTATACCGGTCAATGCCAAATGCATCTTTTGTCGCATCATTAGTGTATCTCAAAGGACGCGACAGGGCTATTTTAAATTTTAAACGTTTCTCACCATAGCTGTAAAAATCTAAATACCGTATGTTAAACTTAATAAATTGCCCGTTATTTGTTTTCTAACTTATTCGTTTTAGGACCAGGTGTCCACGGAAATTTCCAAGATTTACAACTTTTCGGTCACTCTCGTTGAACTGGAAAAATGTTTGTGTTTTTACATCTAATATTACGAAGAAATCAGTCCCCCACTGTACTTGGCTAGAGATTGGTTCGGTTAAGCTTTTGTTTAATTAAAATTCCGGCATTTTCAGAATGGTTTTATTTATGTCCCTATTCCCTAAGCTCTTAATTATTTAACTATTTCATAAGTACGAAATAAGTCGAAACCGGTTACTTCGTATTTGAATATTCGTAGTCTTGGGAAAAAAGTGGAAAGACAAATTTTTATGAAAACGGATACATAAATCGTAAATTTAAGGAAAATAAATTCTAGAGCTTTTTATGTACCTCGTGCATCTCTCTCATTCATTAAATTTAGTTGTAAATGACGCTGTCAAAGTAACAGTTGATTTTTTTAACATTGTACAAGAATTGTGCACGGTTTTTTCTGCATCCCCTTATAGACAGGACATACTAAATCATAATATCACTAGTTTAACATTAAAATCTGTAAGTAATATAAGATGTGAGAGCGGAATAAAAGCAGAATAAATATATCAAATATTTTAATGGATTTTTTTTAAAACTGTCAAATGTACAGAACTATCATAAAAACATACCAGTAAACTCCTATCGATTGGGTTAAGTTATAAATCTACTCGCGATTTACATAGTGGGGCGAGGGCGGGCAAATATTTAGGAGGCAGGTGGCTAACAGACCAGAAGAACCGGTCCTGGATAAAATCATTGAAAGCGTTATACGATATTTTGGGGTGTAGCATCCACCATAATTATGTTAGATATATTACTAATCGCACAGGTCTAATTTTACAATCTTTTGCTCAAGTGGCAAGAAGGACCTGGGGACTTTCTGTTGAAGCACTATTCATCATCTATAATGCCATTTACATTCTCATCATAACGTATGCGTGTGACACATGGGGTTGGGCTATACGTAAAGTACATTTCAATCGCAAACTAGTATCTTTACAGAGGCGGGCACTTATACGCATTACTAAGGCATATCGAACTATTTGTAATTAAAGCCTTCAGGTGATTGCAAAGAAATTACCAATCGATCTTGCGATCGCACAGAAAGAGAGATACCTACAACTAAAATGGAGAAACACCATTTAGTGTGGTTTACGCACTATAGCCAGCGATGAAGTCGAGTGGAGTTTTCCGTACTCTAACATCTTATTTCCTGGTTGCTCTTTAAACTGCAATTTTGATGATGTACAATCTGCAGAATTAGATATTTATACTGACGGATCAAATATTAATGACGCCGTCGGATGCAGCTTTGTAGTTTTCACTGATAACATAGAGATGTTACCCCTAAAGCTCGAAAGTGTACATTAATTAATTAATGTGTACATTACCTAGCTAATATGCAGATTAAATAAGGTGATCCGTTAAAGTTGTGAAAATTATTCCATTTCTCAAATTACCTAGATAATGTGCAGAGTATGTAGGTAATCCGCACATTACCTACTAGGCACTCGGTAAAGTGAAAATAAGATCTTTGCCACAAATAAATGTACCACAAATAGGTGTGCTTGTCGCAAAAACCAATTGCTATGAAATTCAAAGTGTCGCCGATCTTTAGACTGCACTAATAAGTAAGCACAATTGGTTAATGTTATCTATGGTGAGTAAATGGCGGCTCGTCTTCGATTCCAGCAAAGAGAAGAAAGGAAACAGTGGGGACGCACGTTCTAACCGTTAGAACGTGCGTCCCCACTGTTTCCTTTCTTCTGTTTGCTGGAATCAGAGACGAGCAGCCATTTTACTCACCATAGGTAACATTAACTGCACAATTATATCATGCGATCACCAGAAAAAGTATGATAACTTTATTATTTTTCGTCTCCGGTCCAAAAGTAGNTCCTTCCTCAGGATAAAAACTGATTGCGATTTAAAAATAAGAACAAAAACAGTTCTCTGAAACAATTTACATTTGGAAATTTTAACACTTTAGAATCCCAACCATTTAACTGCACCTGTGAAACTGCAACACAGATTACAAATATAAATTGACGAAGATGACATATTCTAACATTGAAAATTAACATGTATGTGTCAGATTTAAATATAAATATATAAAAAATAAACAAGAGTGACAAAAAAAACATGACCTTAGCAGATAACATGAAAATATACAAAGCATCTACATGAGGGCAAATAGTAAAATAAAGATGGAAATGCAATATTCAGTGCATGGAAAGCTCTAGATGTGAACTAAAATGTTAAAAGTATGGAAGTGGGAAATATTGTATATTTCGTGTATGTTATCTGTTAAGGGCATGTTTTTTTCATCATTCTTGTTGTTTATTTTTTTATATATTCATATTTAAATCTGACATGTATCATACATGTTAATTTTCAATGTTAGAATATGTCATCTTTGTCGATTTATATTTTGATCTCAAATGAATTGTGGGAAATTGTGCAGCAAATAACAAAAATAATACTATCGAGTTTAATTTGTAACACTCTGTAATCTACATAGAAGTCCTACATGTGCAGTTAAACAATTGGGGTTCTAAAGCGTTAACATTTTGAAATGCAAATTGTTTCAGAGGACATCTTTTGTTCTTATTTTTATATTGAAATTGGTTTTTATCTTGAGGAAGGGCATTTAAACAACCAAAAACGTTAGAAAATATAAAATTCACACTGCATTTAAAGATATGAGTGATTATTTTTGCAGTTTATGACAAATGCAGTTTTACTGAATAGTGATATCAAGTAATATTTTATATCTAATGTTAAACGTTTTTTGTTTATTGATACCTGAAATAAAACTTGAATTAAAATACATCATAGAAATTTATCATTTTAAATAATTAAATTTTTTATTTTATACAGTCGACCCCCCTATAACGTGGGTTCCTATAACGGAAACTCCTATATATAGCAAAAAAATTGCGGCAGTATTCGTATAAAGGGACTCGTAAAACGTCGTCGCCGACTCGTGTCGCGACAAGATTGGTCGAATCTAGACCAATAGTGGATGAGCAGCCGAACTACTTTCCGCCGTCCAGCCCCACGCTACGGACAGTTCAGGCGGGTAAATTGAGTTTACTATCGTCTGTACAGTATGTAAATTAGGTACCGTAAGTCTAATACGGTACTGTAATTTTATACATTTCTTGTAAAAGAAACATTTCTTATTCAACGGGCCATTAAAATTATTTATATTAATGATGTCTCCAGAGTTCAACGAATTTTTCGCAGAAAAATAACTTATCAGAAATCGCGGCCGCCGTTTGGTGCGCTGCTCCGCGACGAAAACAAGCTTAAGCAATGGCGACGTCAAACGGTGCACACTCGGTGAGTAATCCTACAATTTTTCGTTTATAGCATAGTTTATACGGATTATTCCCAAAAAATTATACGTAATTTGGAAATGTTGAGTCGAATTAGTCTAGAATTGATTAATTTTATGGAAGAAAACCTTTCGAATAGCCGTAGTCCGTAAACTTCACACGTGTCGGGCTGCGATTGGCTCATGTATTTAAGGATTCCTACAACGTGAAATTCGCATAACGTGGAACGTATCTTCGCGTTATAGGGGGGTCTACTGTATGTATTTTCTTTCTTTCTCTTATAAAATTTATCTTATTTATGTCAATTCTTCAAATAAAACATCTCTCTAAATATTAATATATTTCTTTGATGTAATCATATTTTATGCCTTATATCTGAAATGCGAGTGCATGCTCTAGAAAACGTAAATCAAGTCATACTAAGAGATCTATTTCTGTTTACATTTTAATATGGTTAGAAATAGGTCTTTAATTTAATTATTTGTAATTATTTTAAATTACGTTAGGTGTACAATAAGAGGGTCTATTCTCATGCCCATTCTACATTCGGTAAGGTTCACAATGGAACGGTTCTGGCTGAGTAGTGAGATAATAATTTGTATTATGCTACGTTACTACGTACACTCGGAAAATAAACAAGATTTAATTAAGGTAAATTAAATATTAATTATAATTAATTCTGCAAAAAGTTGAATCTATCTATGTGTAACGTGAATATGTCGAGGTTATTTTCTTACAAGTGATTATATATATTGAATTTATTAACTTTCAAAAATTATTATTTAGGTTTTATAAATTAAATAAAGATTTTTATTAAGGATTTTTAATTTGATTTT